AGCCAGGAGGCCATGGGAACCCCAGTTGTTCATCAGCAATCGAACTCTCCATCTCCCTTATGACCAGTCATGGCGGTCCTTTTCTTGAGCACTTGCCGGAACCCAGCCCTGTGCTAGGATATCTCTTTCCCAGATAGCTTAGAGAAATGACAAAACCCTATATTAGCAACTAAAGAACAAACAAGACCATAGGCAAAGGATTCCAGCTCTGGGAAACATTAGGGCCCAGCAGGCCTATGGAGATGACAGGTGTAAGCAGAGGCCTGGGAGAATTGTAGGATTTGAAAGCACATGGGCAAGGAAAGCAATGCGGTGTCAGCAGAAGTGGGAGCTAGGATGTAGCTGCTGTTTGTGACACAGTATAAGGGCACATACTGGGAGGGGAACAGATATCTGGACAGGTGGGCTGGAGCCAAGCTGATACAGCTTAGAGACACTGAGCTGTCCAGCAAGGCAAGGGCTAATGAAAGCTTTGCCTGAAGAAGGTGGAGGTGATGGAATTGTAAGGTAGGCTCCAGAGCCCTGGGAGGATGGGTGGGGGTGGGGGTGGCGCGAGGTGCTGGAGTTGCCCAGAGGTAAACTAAGGAAAGCCAGGAACACAGTCTGGGCAGTGACAGTACAAAAGGAGGAGGCATAAGGGATGAGCAGATGGAAGTGCAGTCAGACACCATCTCTTTCTTAGTAGTAGTTTCTGTCCTGTCTGATGACGTTGGGCAAACAGGAGCTTTTCCAGTTTGGAGGCCTCTTCAGACTGCATGGCTGCCCAGGAGAAGTTGACTGTACTCAAGCCTTTAGGAATGGTACTACTTTGCTTCAGTACAGTCTTCCTCTAGGACTCAGTTTTCTTGCCTGCACAGTGAAAGATAGATCTAGGACAAACTTCCTACTTCAAGAGGAACAGAAAGAGGGGGATGAATCAGTGTGGACTGAAACACCACACTTCTCCAAGAGGGGAGGAGAGAAGGGAAGAAAGGCAGGTGAATCATAAGACTTAAGTCGTTAGCAGAGGGGGAAGCAGAGCATGGGCTGACTAGCCAAGGCTCCCAGCCAAAACTCCCATGGCCCATCTTGGACTGTGGTCCTCTAGGCTAACCCTCATTGGTCTCCCAAGTGAAGACACATGCCTCCCTGCACACACCCTGGGCTTCACCTTGGCTGTCCAGTCCAGCCTGCTGTCTGGTTAAAGCATTAGCTTGACTCCCAGGAAGTTGAGTTTCTAGTCTGGAATGTTCTGATCCATGGACCATCCCACCTGCGGTTGGAGTTTCCCAAGGAAGCATGGGATAACAGACAAGGAGTGTGTGTGTGTGTGTGTGTGTGTGTGTGACTGTTCTTTGTATTCAAAGAAGAGAAGGTTGCCAGCAGATTCCTATCTGAGTGTGGAGGTGGCTGGAGGCTGGCATTGACAACAAAGCTCTCCCACCTGCTGTGGGCACATGGGCCCCACATTCTCTTCCGGCTACAGCTGTTCACTCAGGACCTAGAAGACAGCGTGTGGAAACATGAGGGACATTTTTGCTAGTCACAGTGACTGTGAGGCCTTTATGACCTGGCAGCCAGGGCCACCAACTATCCTACAGTGCTTGGGGCATCGTGCACAATGAGGAAGTGTCCTCTCTCAGATGTCAACAGTAACATCGCGGCATGAAGCCTGGCTTCCTCTGTGTGTGCCATCTGAACACACCAGGCTCTTCCATTTTTCTGAAACATATCTAGACCTGTGGGGTGAGCCCTCTATGGGGTTAAATACAGGGTTTGCTTCTTTTCTGGGTCCATCCCCTCATGTGCCTACCTGGAAGCTTCTTTAGATATGGCTTTGGTCCCGTAAAACCCTCAGGCAGCTCCTAAAGACAGCCAGCCTGTCCCCAGATGAGAACGAGAGGAAAGCAGAGTCTCTGTGGAGCATATACTCATGTCGTGTACTGTTTCAAGTGCTTTGCAAGCATTAGTCCACTTTTCAAATTTTAGTTTTGAATCAGCATACATTAATAATACAAGGGTATTTCACTGTGATAATTCCATACCTGAGTACAGTGTACCTTGAACAAGTCACCTCTTCCATTATATTTTCATCCCTCCTCTTCTCACCCCCTCTCAAGCAAGTCTCATATGTGTCTGTGTACTGTACTTCAGTCCCCTACCCGTCAGTACCCTTCCCCTCCCCCACCCACCGCCTCCCACTGACCCCCCCAGATGGTCCCCATATACGTCAGTGTCCCATTATCATCATCATCATTTTAGGTCCAGGTTCCACAAATGAGAGAGAGCAAGTGACACTTGGCCTTTTGAGCTTGATTCATCTCACTCAGCATGATCTCCAGTTTCGTCCATTTTCCTGCCGCATCAGTCCATCGACTTCTCCCAACAATCTATACATAGACTACCAATTATAATCCCAGTTATACAGCTGGAGAAACTAAGAAACGTGGGTCTTAAGTCACTTGCCCAAGGCTATACCCATCAGTTGACATGACCAGGAGAGTCTGGCTCCAGAGTCCATGCTTTTAACCACCCAGTCTCCTTCTGCTCTGTAAGTCCCAGTTGGGTGAGCTAGAGGACAGTGCCTGGGTTCCCAAGATGCCACGGACATTTCAGTCTTAGCGGCAGTGGTCACAACTGGGTCACAGGCCACCCATGCAGTGGCAGCCTGCTTCATCTGAGCTTCCAAAAGTACTCAGACCCCCTAATAACACTGAAGGAGATGGGGGGGGGGGGGGGGGGGGGGGGGGGGGGGGGGGGGGGGGGGGGGGGGGGGGACAGAAAAAAAAAAAAAAAAGAAACGCCAAAAAAGGGGGGGGTTTTTTTTTTTCGCCGCCCCCCCCGCCCCCCTCCGCCCGCGGGCCCACCCCCCCCCCCCCGCTCCCCCGCCGCCCCCCGCCCCCCCTGGCTAAAAGTTTTTCTCCTGCTTGTCCAAGTGATGGTGAAGGGCATGGATGACAGGAGAGCCCTCCCCAGCTCTCTGCAGTCACCATACCCAGACAGCACAGCCCACTAGCTGTGAAGCTCCAGAAGCTGAAGTGGGGTTCCCAGGAATGGGTGATACCACTGGGGTGTGGCTGATGGGGAAGACTGGCAAATGCAGTCCCACAGGCGTGTTCCTACCTCACCCACTGCCCTGCGGGTGAGCTGGCGCCCTTTCCCTGGAGGCAGCCCACCTCGCCGAGACTTGCCAGGGATGCCTGCTGCTGCTTTTCCCAGCCCAAGGAGCAGGGCCCAGAGCCTCTGTCAAGCTTAATCAGGAGGATCACGTCTTTGCTGGGTTTGGGCCAGGAGAGCATCTACGCTTCTCATCAGGTGTCTGAGATGACGTCCAGGTGTGTCACTTACTGAGAACAAGGGAGCTCCTTGTTGTGTTTGCTTCTAAAACTCAGCCTGCCTTAGGGGAATGCTCAGCTTCCCCTCTAAAGTGCCATCTGCCACCTTCCTGAGAGGAGAATGCAGACTGTGATCACTGGCTGAAGCAACTGGAGCCTCATTGCATACTTTGCATTTGATCTGCAAAGTGTCCATTACATGTCCAAATGCTCCAAAAACTCCCAGCTCCTCTTGCCACTGCCTTGTCATTGTCCTCTTGTGCTCTCCCAACCCCCACAGACCAGCTGCCTTTGGGGTAGGTTGGTTTGACCCAGTTTGGGGAAGAAAATTGTCCTTGCCAGAGTGCATAACTAGGTGTGTAGGTGAAGAGGTTGTGCACACCATTGCCAAGGTTAACATTCTGTGGCTTCTGAGTTTTGGATGCCACTTCCAACTGGTAGCATGACACCCGTTCTTTCTGGGAACTTGGACAATGGGTGGTTCCCACTCTGCTCTCTGATTCCCTACAGAGTTGAAGGAAGCCCCTCCCCAGTTCTGTGTGGCTGCGTCCGGTGTGGAGGGAAATTATCCCATTGCCTAATGACCTCCCTGACACGTGCACACATCCATTCTCAGTGTCTGTCTGTCTGTCTCTCTCCTTCTTTCTCCTTCCCTCCCTCTCTCTTTCTCTCTGTCTCTCGTTGGGGCAAGACTCTGGGCAGGAGTTGGCCCTGGCTCATCTCAACAGAGGTGAGTCCCAAGTCTGCACCTGTGTGAAGACATCAGGCTCCATGTGGATCCTCTAGCCTGACAACAAGTCCCAGCAGGCCAAACTCACCAACTTGTGGGAAAGTCCTCCTTGGACAGTTCTGTCCCAGAGCTAATTCCCACCAATCTCCTACTTTGCAAGCTCTTCCCAGGGAGGCTAACCCTCAGTTAGATTTACATGGAGCTTTTTGTTGTTGTATTGGAGCGGGGGGAGAGCTTCATTGTCCACAGTGTGTTTTCCTATTGGATTGAGCTTCTGCCCAACTTCTCCCACTGTCAGCCTGACAGCAAAGCCCAGAGGCCTCCCTGTGCCTGACCCTGCACACTGGGGCCACTTCCAGGTGGGCTCTAGCTGGAAGTTCTCATAATTGAAGCCCGGGGGCAGAAGTATAATCCTTCTGTGGCTTGTGTTTTCCCCTAGGAAGCCTACTACAATTTGCTTCTTTCCCTGGCAGAAGGGAGGCAAAACAAGGAATGTAGCAGAAAATAACAGTGGAAACAGACCTGGCCAGAACAGAAGTTTCCAAGCATTGGCTGAGTCCAAGTGGCCAAGTTGAGCTGGCTGTGTCAGAAGCTGCTGGTGTCTTGAAATGGCCCAAGGTGATGAGGCAAGGGTTTGAGACATAAACTCAAGTCCTCCAGTCCAGGACTGTTTCACAAAGCAGTGCAGGTCATATTACCTGCACTGCCTCTAGCTTATATTGTCTAATAGATTATTCTAGTCTATGTTTTCAATAAATGGGCATAATGTCCCCATAAAGTGATTTCATAAGCAATAATAGGTCACAGCCTGCAGCTGGAAAAGTAATACAGCAGATAATACCTCTGTCAGCACTCTGGGATACACTGAACACCATGATGGGCTGTCCCCATGGCCAGCCAGATCCAGCATCCCCAGTCACAAAATTAACTGAGCTTTTCTGCTCTTCCTTGTCCAGATCTACAATGGGACCCTCAAACGAGAGCCTGACAACAGGCGCTTCAGCTCCTACAGCCAAATGGAGAACTGGAGCCGGCACTACCCCAGGGGAAGCTGCGCTACCCCAGGTGCTGGCAGTGACATCTGCTTCATGCAGAAAATCAAAGCAAGCCGCAGCGAGCCTGACCTCTACTGTGATCCAAGGGGCACCCTGCGCAAGGGCACGCTGGGCAGCAAGGGCCACAAGACCACCCAGAACCGCTATAGCTTTTACAGCACCTGCAGTGGTCAGAAGGCTGTCAAGAAGTGCCCTGTGCGCCCGCCCTCCTGCACTTCCAAGCAGGACCCAGTGTATGTGCCACCCATCTCCTGCAACAAGGACCTGTCCTTTGGCCACTCAAGAGCCAGTTCCAAGTGAGTGCTACTGCTGGGGACTGGCAGGGCTGGGGAGGCAATTTACAAGCTTGGCCCATTCTGCAAGGGGCTTCTGGGAAGAAAGGAAAGGCATAGCTTCTGTCTCAGCTCCACAGTTACCATCTTTAGGAGTCCTGATCTCAGTTCAAAAAAGAGACGGAATCCAGACATTGAGTATACAGATTCTAAAGGTCACCAGTTATGAACAGAGAGAGGCTAACTAGAGAAGGTCAACAAAGTCAGTGGTTGTCAAAATGTGTGTCTTTCACCAGCAACATCCATATCACCTGGGAATGCATTAGAAGTACTCATTCTTAGGCCACCAAGTCCCACTGACTCAGAAACACCCCAAGGTGGAGGGGGCCCAGCATTGTGCTGCAACAGCCCACCAGATGACTTTGATTCAAGCCAGAGTCTGAGAACCCCTGATCTTAAGCATGCCAACGTCAACTCATGTGCCCTGGTATAGATGATAGGAACAGAATGGGTTATAGGTTATGCTATAAGATGGGAAAGTCCAAAGAACAGATTGGCATGAAAATGGAAGGACATGGTCTAGGGCTAAGGAATGAGCACAGTGCATTTCCACAAGTGTTGAAGGGCTATTTCCCGGTGAGAATGAATAAGACTCAATGAGGTGTCTTGAAGAGAGCCATAGGCACAAGGGTGGCTTGGAGCCACAGTATCACGAATGACATTGAGCCTACCCTTCAGGGAAAGAGCACCATGAGCCTTCCAGCTGTCCTTTACAACCCAATGGTCATTATTCATTTATCTGGCAATGACTGAATATCTACTCCACTCAGGCTCTGTGGTGAAGGCAGGGGAGTCAAACAAGACAACCCAGAGCCTCTCTGGAGCTACACAATTAACTACTTTCCTTAGAGTCCCAGGAGCTTTGCATTCTTCATCTTTAATCATCACAACCCTTCCAGGAATGCAGGCCCTAGTATTCTTGAAGAGAAACAAGGCATAGAGGTGTCAACTAGCTTGCCCAAGACTACACAACTGATTCTCTCATGTGCTCTTTCCTATGGGTACCATACTGTTCTGAAAATAAACAGAACCTCTTTTTAAAGTGGACCTCTCCCATTTGAAGACTATAAGGTATATTTAGAGTTATTTGGGAAAAGACTTAGAAATCATCTCTCTCCTTTGGAGACTGATCAACACAGCACCAACTGAAGTCCCTGAATGGAGGGTCTAAGAGAGACAGAGAAGGGATGACTGGCAAGCCATTTAGAAGTGACAATTGACTGGTGGAGGTCAGTTAGCATCCTTCAATACAGGCCTGGGGTGCTACTATTCCAGAAAGCTCTACTGCTTGAGTCATTTTGCCCTAGCTAAAATTGCAGCTATTTATTGAACACCTACTATAACAAAACATCAGGTAGGCTGAATAAGGAAAGGGCTCCCTCTAAAAATGCTGAAGGATCTTTATGGGGTAGGTTTAGGTGCCACAGAGGTTTTTCCCCTGCTCTGCGGAAACTTTCCATCTCTGTTAGGAAGGAGGACATATTCAGTGGAAAGGCTGCCTATGACTCCATGCTACAGGAGCTGGGAAGGTTCCTACAGGAAGGTTCCCTTCCCTGGAAGGCTTCACAGAAGGGGGCTCCCACATGCCCAGGGTAGGCCTTCAGGCCTGCTGACCTAATGTTCTTGTTACAGCAGACCCTTGCCAGAGGCTGGGGAAACAAACAAGAAGTCATAGTGGAGCCAGACAATTTAGTAAAAACATGAATTGGACTGTTAGCCATTTCCTGTGGTTCAACTTAACATAGGCTCTTCAATGTCAAGCTAAGCAGTTTGAACTTGCACTTGCAGCATAAAGAAGCTGCCGATGGATTCTGAGCTGGGAAACAACATAATAGACAGGGTTTTAGGACTACTTCTCTAGTGAAGGGATGTAACATGTGGGATGGAGGAGCTTGGAAAAGAGAGCCAGCTATGAGGGTCTCTTGCCATCAACCCCAGGAAAGTGATCCTGATCCAGAGGAAAGTGATGACCATGAGGATGGGGAAGGAATGCTTGTGAGAATTTTTGTGTAAGAAGAGTCAGCTGAACTTGGGGATGAAAAGAAGGAAGAATGGATGGATAGAATGGATAATTTCGCAGCCATTCTCTTTCCTTTTACCAATTCCATGCACAAACGTGAGAGGTGAAGATAGGTGAAGTGTCTCCTCTCATGTAATAGAGCAGAGGGTTTGCTCAGTGCAGAGATAACTCACCTACTTAAACCTTAGCCCATGATCAGGGCCTTGTCACACCCAGTGTTCCCTGGAGGGGAAAATGCGCTGGGTAAGCCTGTCCCTTCCCTGGGAGAGCTGTTCATCAGGCATTCTCCAAGTGGGCCTAGTACCTCATTCTGGCACAGCCGAGGATGCAGCAGCTCGGTGTGCAAGGCACAATTCTGAGCACATTCATCAGGACTCTTGACTCTCCCTGTAATGCACCCCCACTGCCATCCCTGGTAGGATTTGCAGCGAGGACATCGAGTGCAGCGGGCTGACCGTCCCCAAGGCTGTGCAGTATCTGAGCTCCCAGGATGAGAAGTACCAGGCCATTGGGGCCTATTACATCCAGCACACCTGCTTCCAGGACGAATCTGCTAAGCAACAGGTAACTGGATGCACACCTTCCTCCCTAGGAGGCCTGGGCGGGCGAGATGGATGGGGGCATTTGCAACTGGCCTCTTTTCACCCTGCCCAGCTGCCAGGAATAAGGATTACAACTGGCATTGCCCAACATCAGAGCTACATCTTCACTTGCAGAGCAAAGCCCTCTGTTGAATGGACATTAGGCAGGTACATTTCCTCCATTGGTCACAGAAGGAGACCAGTCAGTGACAACAATGGGTTCAGCAGAAATCCCTTTCTCGAATTCCACTAAAGCACATGATTGCTCCTCAATTGCCACCCTCCCCCCCCCCCACACCTCCCTCCCTCTCGCTCTCTCCCTGAGCTCCTCATATCCCATCTTATGGTTGAAAGCAACTTATTGGCCTCCCAAGCTTGACTGGAAGGGGATACCTACATGCTCAAGAGTGCAGCCCAAGGATATTTTGCCATAAATGGGTTTCCTAGAAGCCATGGTTAGTTTGCATGGAAGTTTCTGCCATAGAAGGTAGGTCATCTCCTTATGTCTATGCCTTAGGATTCTGAGGTGTATGTATGTACATTTTCTCATTTGGCCTTACCACCATACTCTAGAGGCGGAAAATTGAGCTCAGGACAGAGGAGTGACTTGCTGAGGGTTCCCCAGCTAAGCTGTGAGGGAGCTAGGATCTGAATCCAGGTCTTTGCTCTCTGGTCTGAGTCTAACAACACTACCTCATGCTACCTATTTGCTTTGGTTGACTTGTGTGTTTCTGAACTGAAAGGAGATTTTTTTTTTTGGTCTGAGCAAAACTCACTCTGAGCAGAGAACAATTAGCTTAGCCTCCCCTCCTCTGACTGAGCACTGTGGTGACTCTTCTGGCAGGTCTATCAGCTGGGAGGCATCTGCAAGCTGGTGGACCTCCTCCGCAGCCCCAACCAGAATGTGCAACAGGCCGCTGCAGGGGCTCTGAGAAACCTGGTGTTCAGAAGCACCCCCAACAAGCTGGAGACCCGGAGGCAGAATGGGATCCGCGAGGCGGTCAACCTCCTAAGGAGAACTGGAAGCACCGAGATCCAGAAACAACTAACTGGTAGGGCACTCTACCTAAGACTTCTGGCTGTGGCCTCCAGCTGGTGCACAGGCCAGTCTCTCCAGGCTGGGCCAATATCCCGGGAGTCCAATGGTAGTGGCATTGGCCAGATCAGTGGCGTCTGGACCACACACCCATGGAAAGTCATGGTCTTTTTGAGACTGGAGAGCAAGGGGAGGAAGACCAGCATCCAGGCAGGATCCTGGGATTTACAGGCGATGAGGAGAGAACAAAGTTGATAAGGGCAAGGTTTAATAGGTCTTAAGCACCTATGCTGTGTTCACTAAATGTGGGAAGTACTCAATGTGAGACACAGGACAGAGATATCACCATGAAAGTCTCAAACTGGACAGGGAAGATGAGACCACATAAAGTAACAATTGATAAGACTTTCTGATTAAAAACAGGAAACATCAGAAGATCCGAATCCTAAAATTTCTATTCAAAACCACTGAACAATCAACTGTATTTTGATCACCTTCCATGTATATAATTTTGACCTAGACAGAGAACAGCTCTGAGATGCTCCTGGCCCTCAAGGAACCTGCAGGCAGTCTATTGAGTACATTGAGAATGGGCGCATGAGGGAAACTGACAATAGATTTGATAGGACAAGCATACCTGGAAGGGCCCATTGCTGCAGCCCAGGCTTGGGTGGCACTAGGGCCACTGGATTTTTCTGAACTGAACATGGTAGGTTAAGCATCTCTTGTCTCCAGGGCTGCTCTGGAACCTGTCTTCCACTGATGAGCTGAAGGAGGAGCTGGTGACTGATGCCCTGCCTGTTCTGGCAGACCGGGTCATCATTCCCTTCTCTGGCTGGTGTGATGGCAACAGCAATATGTCCCGGGAAGTTGTGGACCCTGAGGTCTTCTTCAACGCCACAGGATGCTTGAGGTGAGGAGAGGAAAAACGGGGTCCTTCAGGCCCAGCTTCAGGCCCTTCCCCAGGAAGCCCCATCTCAGCCGACACTAAGCCTGGACAAAGAACGTAGCATCCAGTCTGACACTGACTCATGGGCTGGCTCCGAGGCAAGGGGCCCACGCATTGGTGACGCCTCTGCTTCTGGCTAAGGCTCAGGCACTCCTTTGGAGGGAGATAGAGGACATGACTGGGAATCTAAGAATAGCAATGCCTAGGTCTGTGTATCCAAACTGGCTCAACCATATCCCCTCCTGCACCCCCAGAAAGACACGTATTTCTTGTACTCTCTTGAAGACCGTTCTTTTAGACAAAAGTCTACTGATGGCTGCTTATGAGTCACTTCCCAGCTTTGGTGCTAAAACCATTTACCATGCTCATTGGCATGAAGCTGGCACTACTTTGCCCAAAGTTGCCTGAATTCCACACCAGGGTGTGGCGAAGCCCCTGTGGGGCTAGTGGAGGAGGGACCTGGCCGTGCTTGTTCTCAGAGCAGACGTTTAAAAGCTGTGGGGTAGGTGCTGGTGTGGACTGTGAAGCTATGGAGTAAGATCCCCTTCAGGGTCTCCTCTTGCTGTAATGGGGTTTGTCTTCCCGATTCCTGAGAATCCCCCAGAGTGGGGTGCTGTTGACACCTGCTTCTGTGTCTCGAACTGTGCTTCTCCTACTAGACTCCAGCAGTCTTCAGGGAACAGAGAGGCTGGAGAAATGAAAAGCCAGGGTAATTAAGGACTTTATGGAACTGCATGGATTGCTGTGAACAACAGCACACACATACCACACACACACACACCACCACACACACACACACACACACACACACACATACCACACACTTGTGGGCACACAACAAATATGCCCTCCACATGCAGCAGGAGGGCCCAAATTGCTTGGGCATGAGCTGTTGCTGGGGCACAGCACACTTTGCAAGGAGGATGGGTGCATCCAGTCCTCAGCCAAGTCTCTCTGAGCTCCAGTCCCCATCCAGCTACCACACAGCTTCTTCCTGTCCTGCAGAAAAAGAAAGTAGGCAAGGGCTTCCACCTCCTCCTGTATGACAAGTAGCCACTAGAGGGCAAAGGGTTGGGCTACCAGCTGCAATGGAGCCATTGAGAGTCAAAAAAAGTCACCAGGCTTGGGGATTTAAGTTCAGAAAGAAGGGCGAGGAATAACTGAGCTCAACAGAGACCGCATTCTGGCCAGGACTGGACAGAGTTGATTAAATGGGGTTTTTTTCTTCCTTACCTTTTCTTCATTTCCTTTTCCCTCTTCATTTCTTTCCTCTTCTCTTTCTTCCTCCTCCCACCACAACCTCCAACCTCCACCCCATCCTGTCTACTGTTCTTCCTCCACACATCCCCTGCCATGCTCTCTCCCTTCCTTCTCTCCCTGTCCTGTCTCCCCGCCTTGCCTCCTCCTCCTGCTCTCCCTGTTCTCTCCTGCAGGAACCTGAGCTCAGCTGACGCAGGCCGCCAAACCATGAGGAACTACTTGGGACTCATTGACTCCCTCATGGCCTATGTCCAGAACTGTGTGGCAGCCAGCCGCTGCGATGACAAGGTGAGGGTGCAGACCCTGATAGCACCGCCAGCCCCAGTCCCAGCCCCATCCTCTCTATCCAGGGTCACACCCAAGCCAATGAGGTCAGATCCTTCCTTGGTCTTCTAGTCCTGACATTTCTCTCCCAGATCCCAGGAGTCAGGGTTGTACTTCTGGGTGCCTGGAGGCCTGGTCTAGTGACAGGACAGGAAGACAGAGTCTGGGTCAGTGGAGGAGAGGTCTAGAGGCAAAATGGCAATGCTCCCCCAGCAGGCTATAAGGACCTCACTGTTATTGATAGTGCAAGCCCTGCACTGCAATCATGGGAAGTCCACAATGGTGCTCCTAGGGCCCCATGTCCTTCCTGAGATGAAACTCCTTCGGCCAGTGCCTCCAAAAAAGTCTTGGTCAGGCCACCCTTCTGCCGTCTCTGGGCTCGTGGGCAAGCCAGCATAAACAGGACAAATCATGGAGGGAAGATAGATTGGAGACCAGTATCTCAGTGGCTCAGAAGAGGTCTGGCAGTCACCAGGTCAACAGGGAACAGGACGGGCATCACAGCACTTGGGTCCTGAGCACAGATTCCATAGGAAAGATACTATCTCCTGCTCCTTCCACTAAAGTGACAACAGGGCCTCAGAGGACAGTTTGTCACTTAGTTGCCCAGCCTGGTTCTGATGGACAAAGTTTTTCTGCTCTTGGCAAAATATCCCCTAAACCCAGGTAACCCCAAGTCCTGGCAGTTAGATTCCCTCAGACCCCAGCTGGGCTGAGTGTCACTAGAAGGGTAAATCTGCTTCCCCAAACCCTTGCCTGGAGGGTCCCCAAAGGCAAATGATAAAGATGTGGCCCAGCCACCACTGGAAAGCCCTGGGTCCCAGGTCCCATGTTGGTGTACATGTAGCTCCTTTGGTATTGGAGGCTGAGGAGTGACCATGAGACGAGGAAGTGGGAGGGGCAGTGGGGACCAGATGGCTTTGGCTGAGGTACTGGCTGCTCCGGAAGGGATTGTTCTAGGAGGGAAGACACAATTCTTCAACACCCTAGCCTTCAGCTGGCAAGTGGTTCACAGCCACCACTGTCTGTTGTGTTCTACTCCATGTGAGGCCCCTGGTTGGTACAACTCACGTACAGTCGTCCCTCAGTGTCCGTGGTGAGTTTGGTATCCATTGTCAGATGCCCAAATCCCTTCTATAAAATGACATAGTAATTGCATATAACCTACTCAGATCCTCTCATATACTTAAAATCACCTCTAGATTGCTTGTCATACTTAATACATTGTAAATAGTTGTTGTACTGTATTGCTTAGGTAATAATGAGAAGAAAGAAATCTGCATGTTCAGTACAGATGCAATATTTTCTTAAATAATTTCAGTCCATGGTTGGTTGAATCCATGGGTAGAGAACCCAAGGATATAGAAAGCCCACAGTAGAATCTTCTCAATAGCTCAGTGAAGTAAGTGGTTTTAGTCCCATTTTGTACCTGAGGCCCCTAAAGATTAGGCAAGTCACTCAGGTTCAAACAGCCAGGCAGTGATAGAGACAGGATTCAAATCCAGGTCCCAGGAGTGTTCCTGGGGGACCATTCCAGACTGAAGGTGCATGATGCCTGTGCTCTGATTGGTCAGGGTAGGAGTGGGTCCAGGAGCCTGTTGGGGCTGGGCAGCTGCTCAGTTGCTCTCTGCTTGCCCTCAGTCCGTGGAGAACTGCATGTGTATCTGCACAACCTCTCCTACCGCCTGGATGCCGAGGTGCCCACCCGCTACCGACAGCTGGAGTACAACACCCGTAACACCTACACCGAGAAGTCCTCCACTGGCTGCTTCAGCAACAGGGGCGACAAGATGATGGTGAGTACTGTCCATCAGCAGAGTCGGGGCCCACTCCACCAAGCACCCCCAGATCCATGGCCTGCCCACCCTTTCCTCTCAGCCCTCCCAGAGCCTGAAAGCAGCCTTAGGGGACAAGCCCCTACCAAAGCCTTGGCCCTGGGAGTGTGCCACCCTCTCTCAGGGTCTGGGAGACGAACTCCATCTTACATGCAAAGAGGTTCTGTGTTCCTTGGACAGTAGGAGCTCAGACCACCCAAGAGCAGAGGCAGACACCTCTCTGCGGCCTCAGTGACTAAATCTAACCTGTCTTCTCCCTGACCCCTGAGGATCAGGGGTAGTAGAACTCAGAACCCTCTCTGGCATTGGTTCTCATCACCTCCTCCCTCTTATGGAGATGGGGGCGGGGAGTCAGGCTTCTTCCACTGGGTATGGCTGTGGAAGCCAGGAAGGCCCTGGGGCACCCCATGAAACCCACAACATCTTGCTGTAAGACCCCAAAATGGCCTCACACAGCTAGAAGGTCTGGTCGAGGCTGCCCCAGAGGACATTTTCCAAGAGGCCAGTAATGCCTTCTTCCCCTTGAAGAAGGAGAGTGTTACAGTGCCAGAGGAAAGGGGTGTAGGGACCATCCTCTCTCATCCTTCATCTGCATCCACAACCTGAGATTGGGGTAGGTACAGAATGCTTGGGTCATGTCCCCTGGCCAGATCCCCACTGACCTGCTGTTTGTCCTCAGAACAACAACTATGATTGCCCCCTTCCTGAGGAAGAGACCAACCCTAAGGGCAGCAGCTGGCTGTACCACTCAGATGCCATCCGCACCTACCTGAACCTCATGGGCAAGAGCAAGAAAGACGCCACTCTGGAGGCCTGTGCTGGGGCCTTGCAGAATCTGACTGCCAGCAAGGGGCTGGTGAGGAGGCCCCTCACTCCTATCCCCCCACCCATGGTTTCACTCCACATACAGCGTCTGCTCCCTGCCTCCCCCATCAGCCTGTCCTGTCCTTGGCCAAGTCTATCAAATACGTGCAGCTCTGAGCTTCATGCTACAGACATGACTAGGCAAAGTTCCCTGCCTTCAGGAACTCCTGCCCACACTACCCCTCCGTCCCATGGTGCTGGCCTCCTGGGCTCTGCCTGCAGTGGGGAACTGGAATGGAGAGTGTGTTTGGCAGAAGTCCCTAACTGGTGAGCTGACAGAGGTGGGAAAAAAGAGTTTGAGACATGGGCAGATCCAGAAGAAGATGGGACAGAGTCAGTGTAGATTTTGAGAACAAATGCAGTTTGGGGACATGACATTATGGGGAGGGGCTAAAGGAGACTTGAAGGGTGGCCAGCTATTCCTAAGTTGTACTTAAGACACAATGAACTTGGGCGGCAGCAGACATGGGTGAACTGAAGGTAAAGGTATCTTTCCTGACTGTGAGAGGAGGAGGACCCCCAAACCAGCCTAGACCAGGCCATACCAGATGCCTTTGGTGTTTTGAGGCCAGATGATCTCGCCTACCCCCAAATGGGCCCAGACCCTCTCCGATCCACCTTTGTCTTGGGCAAGCCCTCCACAAATATGGATTGGATTCTGCACAGGTAGGTGAGCTGGAAGATTACTGACCTTTTTAGGTCAGTAATCACATGCCCTCAAGCATGTGATTTCATGTGAGCAGATAACTGCTGGGAGAGGTAGCTGAGGGAGGCAGAGTGGAGTGAGGAGTGGACACTGTTAATTGAGAAGCCAATGGTGGGTCACCTCAAGTGAGAGAAATGTGACTCTCTGACCATCCACCTGGCTGTTTGCCCCCAAGAGCAGACCTCAGGGGTGAGAAGAAGGCAGAGTGTTCTGTAGTCACCCAGGTCCCGGGTGTAAGGAATTTTTTCTCTCCCTGTGCTTCCAAGGTGAAAAATAAAAGGTTCCGGGTATTTTCTTGGGGATTGCCTGCCCTTCTCTGCCTGCCATGGTGCCCAGGAAGCCTCAGGCTAGCTCCTCTCGGGTCTTCTCTTGCAGATGTCCAATGGCATGAGTCAGTTGATTGGCCTGAAGGAAAAGGGCCTGCCACAAATCGCCCGCCTCCTGCAATCTGGGAACTCGGACGTGGTGCGGTCTGGGGCCTCCCTCCTGAGCAACATGTCACGTCACCCCGTCCTGCACAGAGTGATGGGTAAGAGCACCCATCCCTTCCGCTCGTCAGAAAGGCCCCCCCACTTTCCAGAGCCTGCTGGAAGGTCATCTTCAAACCATTCCCTTAGGTGAGCATTCTGAAGATGGGAGGGGAGCAGGTCTGCAGAGATCCATCTGGCCTGGAGCTTAGTGCTAGGAGCCTGGCTAATGGCAGGCTGGGACTATGGCTCCAGAAGGATCCCCTCAGCCTCTCCTTCCTTTAGCAATCCTGACCCTGTGCCCCCACTCCTCTTCTCCAGGAAACCAAGTGTTCCCAGAGGTGACTAGGCTCCTCACCAGCCACACTGGCAACACCAGCAACTCTGAAGACATCCTGTCCTCAGCCTGCTACACTGTGAGGAACCTGATGGCCTCCCAGCCACAGATGGCCAAGCAGTACTTCTCCAGCAACATGCTCAACAATGTAGTCAACCTGTGCCGCAGCAGGTGGGCAGGGAGGGGACAGACACTCCTCCTCTGGCTTTGCCTGCCTTACAGTTCCCCTGCCCCCCCGTGCTGGAAGGCTGGATGGGAGAAAAAAGTTCCCAAAGCTGAGAGTGCTGTGAGAGGCCACCAGGTCCAGGCCCTAGGCCTAGGGTAGCACAGAAAGGACCAAAGTGGTGCACTTCTCAGCTGGGGGCGGGGGGGGGGCACTGGGTCTTCAGAAGGCCAGCAGGAGGCATAGGGCAGCAGACCCAACTATGTGGGGCAGTTCCCCACTGCTCCATTGAGCTGTCTTTTCTCAGGATAAGAGCTGGGGGACTAGTGGGAGGGCATGGACACCTCGTGGCTTCTGGGATGCCTCTAAGTGGGCAGAAGTGTGAGATTGTGCCCACTGTGTACTGACTGGGGATCACTGCCCTCCACTGAGGCTCCTCATATATCCCAGGGTCTCCCCACATCTCCAAGATCTGAAGGATCTGAAGGAAGGGTGGGTAGAAGGAGAGGTGTTCTGTGCCTCTTGGGGTCTCTTCTCACAGACATACTTCCCACTTGCACAGTTCCTCACCCAAAGCTGCAGAGGCTGCCCGGCTCCTTCTGTCTGACATGTGGTCCAGCAAGGAGCTGCAGGGTGTTCTCAGACAGGTAAGAGCCCACACCTGCAGCTCTTCCACAGCTGCCGGGTGCTGAAGTCCCAGTGGATTAAGAAGGGGGGAAGAAGAGACTTACACCAAGGGGGAGAGTCTGAGAGCCTGAGTCTGCAAGGCAATGAACATGAACAATGCTCTGACTAAATTCCTAGGCTCTGGGTTCTACAAGACATGCTGACATGTAGATGGCTGAGGGAATGTGCCAGAAGCCTGGAGTGGGATCAGTTAGGAGCAAATTGAAAAGCAGGCTGGACAGAGGGCATGCAAGTCATTGAGAACAGGATGTGCACTCAGGCTATAAAAGTAGTTGGGCTAGATTCCAGAACCCCTTCAATTTCAGGCTTAACAGTTGGACTTGTGCCTTTGGCACAAGGCTTTGGGTAGAGGGTCTCATGATGAAAGACGTCCCAGAAAAACTAATTTCACACCAGTAAGTGAGGCAGAGTGGCCCCTGAAGGTTGCCGTATTTGTGCAGGGTGACCTTTGGTTCCCTTGGTGCCAGCATCAACAGGCACTAAATCCTCGGTTGGGGCTTGGCTATAAGGCATATTCAGCATCTTCACACTGATCCTTCTTTCCATTTCCATTCCTTCGGTAGACATTTTTTGAGCTGAGATGTAGGTAGCGGAGAGGAGGAAATAAAGGATGGGGCAGAAGAGTAGGACTGGTGACAACTGAGGCTTTTGCTTATAGACATTGCAGTTGTATTAACAGAAATAGCTCAGTTGGCAACAGCTCAAGGAGGCTTTGCAGGCAGCAGTAAGAGAGGTCCTTACTTGGAGATGTTGGCTCAGGATGACTTGAGTGGAAGTCAGGTAGATGTGGCATGGGACACTGGCACAGAGGCCAGAGCTGCTGTACAGATTGGAGCACTGTTCAGACAAGTGAAGCCATGAGAACAGGTTACGCCCTTCTGGAGCCTGTGTCTGTGGAAAAGTCTTGAGGGACAAGGGCAGAGGCATGAAGACCCTCACTTGGAAGTGAGGTAGAGGAAGGACCAGGGAAGTGGGAGCATCTGTTCAAGATGCCCAGGAAGGAGCAGAAGGCCTTGTGGGCAGTAGCTCTGGGTTCTATGGAGAAGACAAGGAGGATGTGAACCAGGCAAGGCCTTGGGCCTCTCTGGTGATGCAGAAGTCTCTGGGAAATTGAAAGAGCACTCTGGCCAGGCAGGGGAACACCACAGAACAGCTGTGATGGGTGAGGCAGTGATGGGGACAGGAGGGAGTGAACACTGAGAGGAGATGCAGCTCACTGCAGTTTGGTCCGGGAAGGAATGAGACAGAGGGCAGGTGAAACCTGTTAGAGACAGAGGGCACCCAAGCTTCTCTGTCACGGGAGGAGAGGGAGGGGCAAAGAAAGGGAGAATGAAGATTAAAGAGAACTGGAGAGCCAGGTGACCCTCCACCCTGGGCAGAAGCACAGAAAGCTTTCCTCTGACATAGCAGAAGAGAAGTGGGGAGGAACAAGTATGGTTGCAGATGGTTGGGACCACTATGAGGTAGCTGCCTGATAGAACCAGAGGGAGTGGGGAGACAGTAAGCAGGACAGGGTGATAGCTTCCTTGAGCTGTTTGAGGGTGATCCAAAGGGTTCAACTCACCCAAAAATACAGAGACCACACTTTGCCTAAGACACACAGGAGACCCACTCCCTTAGCTCTCCTGATGAGCTCCTTCTAAGCAGTGTCTTTAGGAACCAGCATCCCTATTCAGTCTCAGCTCCTCCCTCCAGCTGTGCTCAACAACAGCCCTGGTAGGATCTAGGTCGGGCTTCTGTTCCCCCAAGCACCATTACATCCACCATTAATTGAGATGTCACAGTCACAGGTGAGGCAGGCCGCATGGATTTTGTGCATTTTGCTGACTAGAGAGTCTGGATCCAAGGAGTTTGTCTTGACTCAGCGAGTCAGGACAGGAGCAAGGCTAGAATCCAGAACTTTTCGCTCCTGGGTTCTTTCCACCAAATTCAGCCAAGCCTCACAAGAGAAAGAAAGCAAGTTTGCAAGGAGAAGATGACATCATTTAATACATGCCCAAACTTGGTAGGACTGGAGCTTCATCCAGAAGCTGTTTTGGATCCCCTGTGTCATCTCCCTTCCTGTTCCCAAAGGTCAGCCATAGTTGACCTGGCTCTTAGAGCTCATGTATGGACAGGGCCCTGTTCTCAAGGCTCTGACAGATTGCTGCTTTCACATTGTACTTGTTCTCATGTTCGCTGTGAAGCACATATTGAGCACCTACTGTATACTAGAAGAAATAACAGGAGCAAGACTCAGTCTCCACCCAGAAGGAGCAGAGGGGCTGGTAGGGCTGCAGGCAGGAGAACAGATAAGTGGACAGAGCCTTGGAGCAATAGCAGCTTCTCACCACCATCGCCTAAACCCTGCTCCTGAAGTTGAGAACACTGGCCTGTCCTCCCTGCCCAAGCCCTCTTGTCAGAATTTAAAAGAAAGAGATGAGGACAGTCAGAGGGAAGAACAACCAACATCCTCTCATCCAATTTGGGTGATTGCTCTGTATGAAGAGTGATGCATGCTGGCCTAAACTCATGTCTTAACTCAGGCTTCTGCAAATGCAAGTAGGAACCTCAAATGTGCTGGTGGAAGTTCAAACACGTCTCACTAGTGTACTGATTCTGTTTGGCTGCACATTTAATTAGGTCATTTGTAGCACTGACACACATACATAGTGGTCAGAGTTCACAGGCGTCCAGAGGCTACATGAGCCTGGGATACTCTAGGAAGGCAGCTTCTGACCCTAGCAAGCCCCATACTGTCTTGCCCTTGGATGTGACCTCTGGTTCACAATTCTCTCTTGCAGCAAGGTTTCGATAGGAACATGCTGGGAGCCCTAGGTGGGGCGAATAACTTCAGGAATTTTACCTCCAGATTCTAAGAAGAGACAGTCCAGGCAAGTTTGGCTTGCAGGTAAGAATCAGTCAGCCCCAGCACAGGGGGTGCCTCCAGAGCCACTGCTGCAGCCAGTGTCAAAGGGGCTGGGCTCAAAATACACAGAAGCACCCTTTGACCTGCCACACAGCCTGGCTCTGACTGACACAAGAACTGTGAGGACAGCTGTGTAGACTCCTGACTGAGGGCATGGGCTGTCCCACCACAGAACATTAAAGGTGTATAATGTGCAGGTAGGTAGCATCTGAAGGGCCACAAGGTCTTGGTGGAACTGCTGGGTACAACTGTGAAGGTTGCCCGCTGCACAACCCAGATGGTACCATTCACAGAGACTACGGTGGTTATATAATATGTACAACTGGAGTTAAAAAAATATGTCCTTTTGAGTCTGGTCACCCACAGATAATTTTTTAATCCACCTTATATTCCACTTTCCAGTCTCTGCACATGCCCAGTGTGGACAAGGCTGAACCAATATTATGTATGGCAAAAGTTCACAATCCGTGGCATTCACTAGAATCACCTGGAATACTTGCTAAAATTGCACACTCCTGCTCCCAATTCCAGCAATTCTGACTCAGTAGTGCTGGAATGAGGTCTAGGAAGTCGCGTTTTTTAAACAAGCATCCAAAGTGTTTCTGATGCAGGTAAGCCAGGAGCCACAGCTACGTACTCAAAGTAGTATCAGCAAACCAGAGAGGCTCACTGGAGGCAGCTGTGGTGTGGAGCCATCTGCAGGTCACCAGGGATGAGGTCAGGGCCTCCTGACTTCTCAGCCCAGGCTGTCTACTAGCAACAACCCCCTCCCCCAGCCCTGACACCTGAGAAAGATCCTGAGGGGAGAGAGGGCTGTGACTGGTCCAGGTGAAGAGTCATTAAGATTGCAGACACCTCTCCTGGGAGGCGAGCTTCATTTCAGCAACTTGGGGACAGGGGAGGAGAGATTAAATTCAGCAGATTCTTAACGAGCAGGATGTGATGCTTTGCACCAACAGTGGAGGCAGGGCACAGGGTGGCAGGACAAAGCTGAGCAGCTTCTGACTCCACAGGAGCAACCAAAGACCATGTCAAGAGTGACAGGTGTAAGTGAGAAGCTGGTGGTACTTACTGGTGCGGAAATATCTCACTACATCCAAACTTGACAGTTTCTCTTTTTCCAGAAAGATACCACCCAGATGAGAAGACCTCAGGCCTCGAGGATGGGTTATTCTCTCCATCCTGTGCAGTATTTGGACAAGTTCAAATGCAACTGAGAGCTAACCTGAAAACTGTGCATCATGGAAATGTTTTTAGATTCTTTTTTTTTTCCTTGGGATCTCACTACATCCAAACTTGACAGTTTCTCTTTTTCCAGAAAGATACCACCCAGATGAGAAGACCTCAGGCCTCGAGGATGAGTTATTCTCTCCATCCTGTGCAGTATTTGGACAAGTTCAAATGCAACTGAGAGCTAACCTGAAAACTGTGCATCATGGAAATGTTTTTAGATTCTTTTTTTTTTTCCTTGGGGGAACTGGCAGGAGATGGGGGTTGGGGAGGTTGGGAGGGGGCTTTCTTGAGTTAAAGGGACTTAATCTGATGTCAATACTTCCTTTTCTGAGAAACAGTATATATATATATGTGTGTATGACGTAAGTGTGCATGTGCACTCGTGTGCGTGTGTGCGTGTGTGTGTGCATGAGTGCAAAAAGCTAGGTTCGCTGTTCCATTGCACCCATGAGGCAAAGCAGAGAACTCTCCATGTCTCTTCCTTATAGGCAAGGGTGACATGTACTTTTTGGTTAGCTGGAAATGTATTGTGCCAGGACAGGGACCTTGCCAGTCAGGCCACCTACAGCCCCGCATCCTTCCTAGGCCATCTCCCAAGGGGCAGGGAAAAGGCAGAGTAGCCATGGCAGGCAGGGAGGTTGGCTGCAGTGTTGAGGCTCAGTATATCTGTGTGAAAATCTCTTTCATCTGACAATCCTACACTTCCCACAGTGCCATGGGGCCTGGGTTGGGCAGGATGTGGGGCTCTGGAAGGCATCAGTCTCACTTCTTGGTTGTGTGAGGACACTAGGGAGTAGGAGCCAGAGATAAGCTAGCAGTTCTCCTGGACTGTGCACTGCACAGCAGCCTCAGCCTACAAAGCTCCTGCTTTCAGAGAGCCTGCAATCTACTTGCTGCAGGAGAAAGAAGGCAAAAATGGTGCTCAAAGCCAAAGAGCTATTCATGGAACAGCTGTTTGGTATCATCTTCCAGTGGGCAGGGGAACAGGCTGCCAATGGAACTGGGGAGGGAGGATCTAGAAATTACCTGGAAGATGTTCCCCACCAAGCCTGTAGAGCCAGGAAAGGAAGAGACTGGTGGAAGGGAATTTGGATAGACCAGGAAAGGAAAGAGTCCTATCAGGATACCAACAAGCCCACGTCCCAGCCAGGGGTGGCCTCTCCCTTCCTCTGAACCCCAGCCATCCTGTTTCCATTCTGTCTTTGGGAAACCCCTAGGAAATGAGATAAGAGACCCTTTGGGAGCACCAGCCCCGCCTAAGTCCCCAGACTGTGCAGTCAAATGAGCAGTAGCAGAAGGCTTCTGAGAACCTTGTGAGTTAGTGGCCCTTAGGATGAACTGAAAGCTGAAGCACTCCCAGGCTTCCTCCTTTCAACCTGCCACTCCCTAGCTGACATGGTTGGCATCAAGTAGACAGCAACTGGATGGCTGCACCCCTCTCTAGAGGGGCACAGAATGGCACTTGTCCTCCTTCCAGGTCTCATTCCCTCTGCACTGCCCCTAGTGCACGGCACTTCTTACCCCAGCAATAGGACTGGAAAACCCCTTCTGGATTCAGGATGGCCTGCTGAGAGATGCAGCCACTGAGGTTGAGGTGTCTGCAACACCCTCCTCAGTTTTGGCTCATGCTGGAAGGCCTACTCCTAGTTTATCTCTCCCTTCCCGGGACCCACAGGGGAATCTGTCCCACCACACTGTCCTGGATGTAGGTATCAGGAGGTCTCATCTGCCAGTTACCAGGGCCCAGAGCAACTCATCCCGTAAGACATGTTCACGGAATATCCTCTGCCAGGCAGCATTCTAAGCACACGAGATACACTAATGAACAAAACAGCCAAACCCCTGTCCTCACATATGTTCTCCTGACGGGATGGAGAACATCCTTTCAGTCTGAAAGGATGGTATAGAACAGTCAGGGCAAGAAGGTTTTTAACCACTACAAGTGAACCTGTTCGAAGCCCAGGTTGCTGCCCTCCCCTGAGCACAGTCCTCACTTCCTAGCCCTGGGCTCATTTTCACAGGATGAAGAGCCAGGAGGTCCTCGCCCTCTGCTTTGGGAGGGGGGACAGCTGCTCAAGCCTCTGTAGGCTGTCGTGGACAGTTAGGAAAGGCCTGACTGTGATCATCTCTCTCATGCCCTCTCAATGGGCTGGTCATTTGGGCCTCTGACCCAGGCCTACAGCTGGAAGGAGCAAAACTTGAGGGGAAATGAAAATGTATTTCCTGGGGATAGGAAGTAAGGGGTTAGCTAGACTTTATGTACTCAAGACCTGCCTTAGCACCTTAAATCCGCATCACTCTCATGCTGCCAAGGTTAGCCCCCAAAACAAGAAGTCCCAGTTTGGGGCCAAATGAGGAAGAACACAGGCCCTATGCCCTCCTTGACCCCAGGATCTCCTATGCTTAAGACAAATTAGTCATTGTCCATCAGTGCCCTCTCCAGTGAACTCAGACCAACCACCCAGATGCTACACTTTTCCCAGGAACCCAGGGGGCAGGGATGCCCTTTGCTGGTTCACCTTGGTACCCAGCAAGGGTGGCTGAAGCTATGGGATGGCTGCAAGGTGTCTGGGAGCCTCTCTCCAGCCCACTCCTCCCCTAGCTTCATGTTTGTATAAGAACCTGTGCTAGTTAAACCCAGTTTCCCTGTATGATATACCATGTATTCGCTTTTTTGGAAATACAGGAAATCAATAAATTGCTTTCTTTGAACTTTTTCAAGCTGTGGATTCTTTGGAGTGCTGTTGAAGAATGAAGGGGCTACTCACTTCCCTCAAAGGTTTCCTTTTAGGACTCCACACCAGGCAAGGATTGTGAACATCCCCTCAAGGGCAGAGGGATGTAACCTCATAGACACCTGCTCTACCTTGGCCTCACCATGACTCTGTGAAGCTAGGATTGCTGTCATGATTTTACAAATCAGTAAAGTGGGGCTTAGGGAGGGAAAACTTGGCAGAATGTTACTCAACTTGTAAGTGGGGAAGCCACCTAGCATACAACCCCATCGTGGCCTGGTTCTGTGGGAAAGAGAACTTCAGGGGTGAAGTCCAAGTCGCTCATGTTTCTTCAGTGCCTGTTCTGCCTGGGCTCTGTATCAGGTAACGGACAGCCATGAACAGAAAGGATGTGACTGCCCCATGCCTCAGGAGGCATAGGGAAAAGCACATGCAGGTGGAACTTCCTGGAACTCATAGTAAATTCCAGGAATGGTCTGGCATAACTGCACGAAGAAGATGGGGATATTTAGGAAAGTGCTGGAGAGGAGGTTTTCCCAGGCCAGGAAGACAGCAACTGGCAAAGCTTCTACCACAGCCCATGCCCTGGTCTCCTGGGACATCATGCAACTTAGTATGACCAGGGAGGAGGTGCTGTGCCACAGCTCATGAGAGGACAATGGCTGTCTGTGACCCAGACTGTTAGATACCCTAGGCTGGGGCTTCTGAAATGTCTCAAGATTCATATTGACTATAAAACATGAGATCAAATTATAAATTGAGAATCAATAAATAATCACATTTTGTACTTTCATCAACATATAGCTTGCAGGCCAAAAATTGCACAACTTAAAATGTGTGCATCTCAAACTCTCCTCAAACCAAGCAGGGCCCAGACCAAGAATCAGGACATGAACAGCACCCAAAGCTGCTTTGGTGCCCCTCCTGCTTTTCCCCTTCCCAAGGACAACATAGCCTTGACTTTTAACACTATATTTTAATATCGCCCATTTGTGAGCTTCGTATAAAGAGGACCAATTGAAAGTCCTTTTTTGTGTCTGTTTTTTTAGATCGACAATATGCACAGAAGATTTCACCATGCTTACTGTATGTCATGGTCCCTGCAATAAAGCAATCCCTTGTGCAACTGTACTACAACGTAGTACAGCGTTGTACAGTGTAGTACAGCGTAGGGTGTATCACCATCATTGCTACATCTAGTAATTACAAACATTTGAAAGCTATTTGTGGATTCCTTGTCTTGCTTCCTCAAATTCCCACATTGTGTCATTACCGGGAAAAAGCCAATGGCAAATAAATTCTATTTTTGGGGGGGCAGTGGGACTGGGGTTTGAACTCAAGGCCTCATGCTTGCAAAGCAGGCACTCTACTGCTTGAGCCACACCTCCAATCCATTTTGCTCTGGTTATTTTGGAGATGGATTCTTGAAAGCTATTTGTCAGGACTGGCCTCGAACCTCGATCCTTCTGATCTCAGCCTCCCAAATAGCTAGGATTACAGGCGCAAGTCACTGGTGCCCTGTTAAAAAAATTCAGTTTTATGTGGGATGTGGGACATATTTAATTTGTAGGAATGCCAAAGGGCTACAAAGTCCTAATTCAACTGTCCCTAGCCATTAGGGTGGCAGGCCCATCAGAGAACAGGCCAATGAGTATGGGAAGGCCTTGGGTCCAGGAGCACAGGGGCACCAGGAGCTGCTGAAAGTCTAGGCTGTGACAAGGAAAAGGCCTCATGGACCTAGAGGTTGAGTCTCCCAGACCCCATGTCCACACTGCCCACAAGTCAATCTGCCTGGGTCTTGAAGTCATTTCTTCCTGTGCCCTTTGCAGCTAACCTGGCCTGGTGTTAGAACGGGGTATGTCTGCTGCCCAGTGTAGTTGGAGGAAGAGTGAACAGAAGTTGTTAATGAGAGCAACAGTCTTCTTACCTGAGGCGCCAACAAGATAAGAGAGCTGCTTGCACTTTCAAAGCCTTAGGGCTTACATTCTCTGCTTTGATCTGTAATTTGCTATAGTGAGACAGGCAGAGTACAGAGTATTAAATTCCATCTTATAGATGAGGAAACTGAGTTGCAAAGAAAGGGACTTGCCTAGAGTTACACAGAACCAAGCCTGGGACCCAGGGCTTCTGTGTCCCCACCCAAGAGCACTCTTGGAAAGGCTGCCACAGAGGTGATACTGTGCGCAGTGAAACCTCTGATGAATCAGGGTTCACAGTGCCTTAGGCATTGTAAGATTGTATATCTCTCAGCCATGGTTGCTGTGCAGACCTGCAGATACACAAAAGTTCTGATTCACAGAATACCAGATGCCAGAAACTATTGTGTGCCTCATCTAGTGTGGGACCAGCTGGTTTGGTTTGTTAGAAGACAGGGCAATGAGGCCAGGGCCACAGGGCAAAAAATGCCTCCATGACCCCAGCAAGTGTCCCCCTCCCTAACCTGTCATCCCGCAGGTACCTGCTGCTGAATCAGCAGAGCCACCTGGGCCCTCTCTGGGAAGCATGTCAAAACTGACAAGCCTTGTTTGTGGAGGGTCAGCAGAGACACCCCATATGCCGAAAGGACTTCACAAGCTGGCTCATGCTTGCAATCCTAGC